ATAGACTGGGTGGCTTAGAACCACACAAATTTATTGTCACACAATCTAGAGACTAGAAACCCAAGATCAGGTGTTAGCACTGTTGGTTCTTTCTGAGTGCTGTGATGAGGAATCTGTTCTGTGTCTCTCCCCTAGCATCTAGCCGCATGCTGGCAGACATCAGTGTTACGTGGCTTGTAGATGATGTATTACCCCCATCTTGGTATTCATCTTTATACAGCATCTTCCTGTACATGTGTCTGTATCCAACTTTCCCCTTTTTACTCTGCAGGAGGATGCCAGTTATATTGGATCAGGGCCCAGCCTAATGACATTATTCAACTTGATTACCTCTGTAAATACCCTATCTTTAAATAAGGTCACATTATAGGGTACTGAAGGTTGGGACTCTAATATGTTTTTGGGTAAGACATAATTCAACCCATAACACCTGCTTCTCTGGTTGAATCCTGGGGATATATACTCTGCATATCACTTGGTTGCATTCCCTTAAATAGCTTACCAGAATCATTGGTTTTTTAAGTTGACACTTCCCATGTCTCCAGAACATTGATTCTTCCTCTGAGCTGAAGGAGATGTTTAAATTTGGGAATTAGTATAATACACTTGCTCAGCTTTCACAAAGAAGGCCAGGGTTAGCGATTTATTGGAAAATGACTTGTGGAGACATTGTTGGAATTCTGGAACACCTCGGACAGCTAGATGCTGGGTATTGTAACTGGGAAGTGGGGGTATTTTAATAGCTGCTTTAATGATAAAGGAGAATGAAGAACTTGGGAAGCAGGTAACTTGCTTTGTGGGGTTTGGAGGAGGGATCGTGGATGTGAGAACATGGAAGGAAGCTGGTTAGGGTGTCAAGTGTCCACGGTCTGGGACTGGGGAAGATATTTCATATTTGTATGCCTCTGTTATTTTCTTGTGGCCAAGTAGATCTTACCTGCTTTAATTCTCACCATATTTTTTAAGGCATGTGTTATTCCCCCATTTAAGGGTTGTAAAAAATGAGTCTTAGATGACTTTTTAAAAATCACACATCTAGTAAGGCTAGGCCAGGATTCAGACATACAGTCACTCTTCTTTTGTTGTGGATTCTTTTTTAAATTAAATTTAATTTTTTTGCAGTTTTTGGCCAGGGCTGGGTGGAACCTGCCACCTCTGGCATATGGGGCCGATACCTTACCCCTTTGAGCCACAGGCGCCGCCCTGTTGTGGATTCTTTATGTGTGAATTTACCTACTCACTAAAATTTACTTGCAACCCCAAATATGATACTCATGGTTCTTTCATAGTCCCTCACAGACGTGCTCAGAGTAACAAAAAATGTGAGTTCTTGGGCGCACATGTTCCCAGCTGAGGCTAAAGAAGGCTGCATTTACTTTCTTGTTTCAGCTCTCATGCTATAAACAAAGTGTCCTTTTCACAGTCTATTTCGTGTCACTTTATTTTTTTGCATTTTTGTGCTTTTTATTGGTGACCCTGCTGTTTAAAATAGTCCTCACTTATAGTGCTAAAGTGCCTTCTAGTGTTCCCAAGTACAAGAGGCTGGGAGGTGCCTTATGTAGAAGATGCATGTTGGTTAAGCTTCATCCAGACATGAGTTGTAGCGCTGCTTGCCATGAATTTAATGTTATCACTGATGTATATGTGTACTAAATAAGGTGTCTCTGAACAGAAATACACATTAAATAAGGTTATGTATTGATCAGTTGATGAAAACCAGTTCTGAATCAAGACCGAAGCTGGTAATGTCCCTTGGAAACTACCTGGCAGGATATATCTGCCTCCTATTCCCACCTGCTCTGTCCTGTTGCCAATAAGGCTCCATACCTCACAGACCAATTCTGATATGGCACAGATTTGAGTGAGTCTAAGTGCTGATATTGAACAAAGTAGCATCTGAGCTATGGAAAACACTTGCAAAGGTGGACTCAATGCAGTGAAGTTTGGGAATTCGTGAATGTGCATGGAAAAGGAAATTCTGATGTAGGTTACAGAGAGTTGCTTTTGGATACTAAGCTTAAGTGTAAACTTCAAGAAAACTCTTGAGTAGACTATTGAGCATATGAAGAATAACTACCTAGGGAAAAAAAGTGATCACCTGGAATCAACCTGAGCTCGCCTAGAATAAATCATGACCTTTGTTTCAGACTTTTGTTTTTGGTTATCTTAAAAAGATGGCAGTGAATATGTTTATGCATTTACTTTTTTCTTCTCTTGTATTATTTCCTGTAGGGGGCACTTGTTTTGAGTCAGGCAAAGGGAGGGAAAGTAGACCTAGGGAACAGTGTGGGGAAGAGCAAGGAAACAGTAAGGAGCAATCTTAGAGCAGTTTGGTGAGCATTGGCTGGTTCAGTTTGAAGTGAGGAGTGGTGGGAGATGGGGCTGATGAAGGAGGAACTTGAATTTTAACACAGCTGGTGGGGATTCAATGGGAGCAGATAGGACAGAAGTAGAGGCAAATAATCATGAATGGTGAATGTAGGCATAGGAGAGGGGACATGTGTCAGCAACTGGATTCATTCAAACATTTAATAAATCCTTATTGCATACTTTCTGAGAATGAGCCCTTTTCTCTCTCCAAGCCAAATGTCTACATACTGTTACGACTTGTACACCAATTTCCAAATTTCTTCCTTGGATGAGTAGGAGACCATCATTTCCCTGATGCACAGCACTCACCATATGTTTACAGAATGGATGTTTTTGAATTAGTCCTTGCTCCGGCATTTTCAGATTTTCTTTCTTTTTTTTTTTTTTTTGAGACAGAGCCTCAAGTTGTCCCCCTGGGTAGAGTGCCGTGGCATTACAGCTCACAGCAACCTCCAACTCCTGGGCTCAAGCGAGTCTCCTGCCTCCACCTCCCAAGTAGCTGGGACCACAGGCGCCCGCCACAACGCCTGGCCATTTTTTGGTTGCAGCCCTCATTATTGTTTGGCGGGTCCGGGCTGGGGATTCGAACCTGCCACCCTAGGTGTACGTGGCTGGCGCCTTAGTGAATCATTGCTTCAACTCAGGAGTTTGAGTTGAGCCACAGGCGCTGAGCCACATTTTCAGATTTTCAACTAAATTTCCTCTTTATCCTTCCCTTAGAAATACGCTCATGAGTTAAATTTATCATCCATCACTAACAACCAATCTTTCCTTAATTCTGCTGAAATTTTTGCCTCAACTCTGGATTTGAGAAACTTAGAGAAGATCTAAACTTCTATCCTCCCCTCCAGTTCATTCATAAAACCTGCAGGATTTTGTTTCTGCTCCTAGTATGTGACTTAAAGTGATATTTCAGGCACTGCCAATCCTAGCTCCTCTCTCGCCTGTTCAATTTTCTTTCCTTTTTTTTTTTAGAGATAGGGTCTTATTTTGTCGCCCTCGGTAGAGTGCTATGGTGCCATAGCTCACAGCAACCTCCAGCTCTTGGACTTACACAATTGTCTTGCCTCAGCCTCTCAAATAGCTGGGACCATCTGCGCCTGCCATAACACCGGCTATTTTTTGTTGCAGTTTGGCCAGGGCCAGCCTTGAACCCTCCACCCTCAGTATATGGGTCTGGTGCCTACTCACTGAGCCACAGGTGCCACCTGACTGTTCAATTTTCAATCCAATTATTCTGACTTTTCAGAGGTAGCATGGACAATTAATCCTTAATTTTCATCTCTTTATATTCTAACTTTGTGTGGTAAATCAAATTATTGGTTATATCTATGTTTTGTTTTGTTTTATGTTTTAAAGGCTCCATTCTCTGTACTGTCACAGACCACACCAATTTGTTTCTCCTCCTGCATCTCAGAGGTCTTCTCACCTTTTAAATATGAGAACTCTGAGGCCCCATCTGCCCTTCTCCCTCCTTCCTTCATTTCTACTCTCCTTTCTATCCTTTGTATGCTGTCTTGCTATCAAATATTATTTTAGAAAGACCTATAAATAAATACCTGGTTCCAATGTCACTCTGACTGCAGTCTGACCTTCATCTCCTGCTGATGTATCTCTGAACATGGTCCACTAGTGTTTAACGGACAACCAACCACAAACTACTAATTGAATGTGGAATAAACTCCACATATGGGTATTCAAAAGCCTCCAAACTTTGGCCTCAACCTAACCTCCTCACTTTTCACTTACCCCTCCCAGATACTTTATGATTCCCTTAAACTAGTGAGTCAGTCCACCTGTTCTGCACTGGTTCCTCTAGGCTTGCTCTGTCCCCTGTGCTTGAAAGACTTGATGATTTTAGCCAGATTGTCACTGACTTTTGTTATCTATTACTCACAAAGTGTTTTGTTAGTATTCAGCCAATAAGGAGAAAAGCTTGCTCCTGAAAGAGACTAAGTCACCAGTACAAAGATTAAAGCAGCCATATTTTTATTGTGGAATCAACCTACGTGCCAACCAATTCATCGTAGAGTAACAAAATATGTTTAACATGGAGCACTACTTAGCCATTAAAAACAATGCATTAAGGCCTTTTGCAGAAATTAGGATGGAACTGGAGACTACTATCTTAAGCATCTTGAGACTGGAAAGACAAACGCCACATATATTTTAATAAACTGGAACCAACTGATGGCGCAAGCATGCACAGAGGGAAGTAAAAGTCTTTAGAAATAAAGCAGAGGTGAGGGAGGAAGGAAGAAAGAAAGGGCAAAAACCTACCTTATGCATACAATGAGCACTATTCAGGTGGTGGGCACATTTATAGCACTGACTCTAGCATTACAAAAGCTATCCTCATAGTATTTTGCAATAAAAAAACCCCAAGAAAATAAAAAATATGAAGAGCACAAGTGCCATCTAGTGGTATAAGGAGGTAGTTGCAGGGGAAACTGGTCCATTATTCAAACATTTATGGAGAGCCTGGTATGTCAAATGCTGGGTACTGTAATAGGTACTTGAAATATAGCAGTGAATAAATTAGATAAAAACCTCTGAATTTACAGTGCTTATATGAGCTGCTTTCTGGATTTATCATAGCTAAATAAGGATAACCAAAGTCAATACCTCAATTAGGGGCTTGAAAAAGAATGGGGGGCTTGAAAAATCCAGTTACAGTTAGCCACGTCACTATAGTTTCCAGGATAGTTAAGACTCTGTATGAAGCCTTCTTCAAAAAGAACAGTTAAGAAACTGCAACCTGAATCTGGAACACAGGAAAAAGATCTAAACAAATGGCACTACACTAATGAGGAGGAATTCTCATTGTTCTACTTTCTGTCTCCTCAAAGTGACACGTGAAATAAATTTTTAGACAGACCCAACAAGAAGGAGAGATTTGTGCATTGATTTCCCAGAACTCTTTAGGCGCTCTCAACTCACTTGGGTTGTGCTAAAGATGAATTATCTAGGCTAACTCAGGGCTAAAAGAGATATTAAACCCTGTTCCTTAGCTAGCCTGCATTATTCACTACAGAGCCAGTGGGCCTTGGGAGAGGGCTCCCTGCCCCTGGCCTAGTTTCCATAGCTCCTAAGTATCTACAAAAGCCTGAGATAGTATATATAAAAGGAAATGGTTTTACCAGGAAGGTAGTTTGGCTTAAGAGGTTTATAGGTGAGATTAAACCTAGTAGCATAATTTGTGGCATCGGAGATTAACTCCAGCCTTATAGAATTGGAGCCAACAAGAATGGATGAAGTCAGACTTTCTCCATAAAAATTTCCTGCAATATGAGAAAGAAGATTCTTTACTCAGAATCTAGAAAGCAGTACTCATTAAATGACTTAAGGAGAATTGAATTTGCCATGATACTTCAGGGTTGTCTAAATCAGGGTTTCTTAACCTTGGCACTATTAGTATTTTGAACAAGAACATTCTTGTGTTCACATGTCCTTGGTAGGAAGTTTAATAGCATTCTCAACTTCTACTGGTAATACTCACTCTGGTTGTGACATTCAAACATGTTTCTAAGAATTCCCAAATGTCTCCTGGGGGACATGATCACTTCCAGTTGAGAACCACAGTCACTCCATTTCTGTTTCTTATGTAAGTAACCTTTGTTAGCTATTTATATTTTTCATATTAGCTACATGAGGCAAGTGAAGGTCATTTTCACAACTATGAAAGCCAGGTTTTGCCAGGATGGGGGAAACCTGAGGGGCCTTGTGATACGTCATTTTTACTCCTGATGGGCTCCAGGTCTGGCAGGTGGCTCTAGAAAGTGTGGTTTGATGGGAAGGAGATGGAACAGGTGAAATGCACCATGACCTTGCAGCCTTCACACAGACTCAGATTCAATTCCTTCCTACTCCCAATTCTAAATTTCAAAATTGGAAATAGGAAGTGCAGTGCTTAGAGATGGCTCTAAGTGAGAAATAGTGTAACCAGGTCTCTTTAAGCCCACTTCTCACTGGTTTCTGCCTGACAGTAAGAAATTCCACTCACCAATGAGTCTGTCTTCTAAAGAATATATTGACAGGTAATTGTGGTGACAAGTCTCAACGTCCAAGTGAAAAAAGCTGAGTAACACATGCATTTCATTTCCTCTGGTACTAACAGGGTCCAGACACATAGTCTGTAGGCAGATCACAGAGAGAGTATTATTTCTAGACAGAAAGTGACAGTCACAGTTCAATTGGCAGGCACAACCAGACGAGGGGTGGGAGTCAGGGGGAGGGCGGCAGAGAGGCTACTCCCTGTTTGCTCTCATAATATAGCTGGAGGTTTTCTGTGAAGTGCAGCTCCCCCTCAGACCCACTGACTACTCTGTCCTTCTCTGCGCCAGGCTGAGAGGGAAAGCCAGGAGAACAGGGTGAACGATGAGGGTGAGCCACATGGCCCCTCCTAGAACCTGCACAGAAGTAGTAGCTCCTGGTTCTTCTTGATGTACTCTTCCATTTTTCAGGAAACCTTTTCCTCTCTTGGCTCCTATAATGCCTGTGCTTTTTTTGTTTGTTTTTTTATAAATCCTGCTTAACCTTGAGATTTTATGATTTTTTTTTTTTTTTTTTTTTTTTTTGAGAATGAGTGTCACTTTGTCACTCTGGGTAAAGTCCTGTGTTGTTATTACAACTCACAGCAATCTCAAACTCCTGAGTTGAAGCAATTCTCTTGCCTCAGCCTTCCAAGTAGCTGGGACTACAGGTGTGTACCACCATGCATTTTTTTTTTTTAACAGAGAATGGGGGGGGGTCTCACTTTGGCTTAGGTTGGTCTCGAACTCCTGAGCTCAAGCAATCCACCTAGCTCAGCTTCCCAGAGTGCTAGGATTATAGGCATGCGCCACCCTGTGGAGCCTCTATGACTTTTTCTTCCTCTTAACTCTTCTCTCTTTGACTCCACACTTCATTTCATGAGCACATGTATTTCCCAGGTTCTATCCTTACTCCTCATCTTCTCTCTCTCTGAAAAGTCTCATTCATACCCTCAGCTTCACATATCTCTGCATTCTGAACTTTAGACCTGATTTTACAATGGTCTCCTAGCTATGCCCCCCAGATTCAACATGCTACAAATAGAGTTCCTCTGGGTCAGCAAAACTTCATCTGCTCTGATTCTTTTCCTTTCTGTGCCCTTTTCTTAGTCTCTCTCATGCTCAAAACTTTGGTACTATCTTTGATTTCTCCCTCTCCCTTACTACCCTTCATCTTGTTGGCTACCAAGTGCTAATTTTTCTTGTTTATATTTCTTCCTTTCCTTCTTTGACCATTATCTTGGTTAAAGCCTTCAGTTTTTGTCTCTCAAATTAATGCAGGATATCATGAGCTCACTGGGAATTATTTCCCCCACAACCTACATATCCCCTACATGCTGATATTATACCATTAAAGTATATTCCAAATTTATTATCTGATTAATCAGCTTGTTTATTACTAAAGTCCAGACTTTTTTGATTGACATTTAAAGTTTCCACAGTTTTATTTCAAGTTGCCTGTCTATTCTTCTCATTCATAAAACCCCATCACACATACCAGGATCCTTTGGCTGGTTTATTCATCTCTGTTCTACCAGACATTTTCCTATCGCCATCCTTTAATATCCATTTTTTGATAAGAATGTTTCCCTGAGCTAGAATCCTTTTCTTTACCCATATTCCATTTCTACCTGTCCAAATCCTACTCGGCCTTCAAGGTTTAACTTAAAAAGTGTCTATTTTCCAAAGTCTCCCCTACTTGTCTATTTAGAACTAGAAGCAGCCTCCCACTCCTCTGAGCTCTCAAGTATCATTTTCCATATTGTTCGTTGTAGATATTTCCACAGGTTCACAGGACTACCAAAGATTTGAGCTAAGACATCTTAGAGACTATCTGGTCCAAACTCCTTTCTTTATGGATGAAGAAACTGAGGGCTGGAGATGGGAAAGAGCTTTTCCAAAGTCACAGAATGAATCCATTGCAGAGTTGTTGTGTATGTATGTCAGGTAGGGGATGACACCCTTATGTAAGTAGGAACATTTTCCAGGGAAGGTATGTAGGTTATTGACCACATCGGCATTGCCTCATGCTCTTTCCTCGAGTCTCTGATTGAAAGCTAGGGTTTGGCAAATGTCAGCTGAGTTGAGGTGGAGCTCTGGATTGACAAAAAGTGAAATGGGAGGGAATTGGGGGCTCCTACTGCCCCTGGGATTGTTCAGACTGGCAGGGAATGACTGCTACAGGTGGTAGTTTTAAACGTAGTAAGCATAGAGAACTCTTGAAGGGGAAGACTTTTGATTATAAAGGGAATTGATATTCAGAAATGCTAGATGTTAATTCATGATCCTACAAAGCAGGCTGCAAGGAATCCCCACCTCTAGAACTTGTTCTCCCCTCCCTGGGAAAGAAAAAGAAAGATGCGATTCAAAGCTTGTGGCGTACAGAACCACAGAATTACTTGGTACTATTGTTGATTCCTCCTTCTCTATTTCACCACCTTTCATCTAAGTGGCTGCCAAGTCTGAACCGTCCTTGTTTCTATTCCGTCATTTTCATTCCTCTCTGACCACTGCCTTAGCAAAAATAAATTCTTGCTATTTCAAGAAATTAGCATCTCCTTGACGCAAAAGTGCTGAGATTTTTAAAGTCAATATTCAACTAATGGAAATCTAATCTATGGAAAGAACAGAAGAAACAAACTGACAAAGTAGGAAGGGGACCCTGGTGTTTTAAGGAGATTATTTCACTTCACTTTTGAATGGGCTGATTAAGAAAAAATGATTAAAGCAGGTCCTGTGGCTCAGTGGGTAGGGTGCTGGCCCCATATACCAAAGGTGTGGGTTCCAAACTGACCCCGGCCAGCTAAAAACAGTAGTGGCAACTACAACAAAAAGTAGCCAGGTGTTGTGATGGGCGCCTGTAGTCCCAGCTACTCAGGAGGCTGAGGCAAGAGAATTACTTGAGCCCAAGAGTTTGAGGTTGCTATAAGGTGTGATGCCACAGCACTCTACTCAGGGTGACAGAATGAGACTCTGTCTAAAAAAAAAAAAGAAGAAAAGAAAAAGTGATTAACTTAGAGGTTACACTGAGCAAGAAGAGGTTATTTATTTATTTATTTTTTTGAGACAGAGCCTCAAGCTGTTTCCCTGGGTAGAGTGCTGTGACATCACAGCTCACAGCAACCTCCAAGTCCTGGGCTTAAGCGAGTCTCCTGCCTCCACCTCCCAAGTAGCTGGGACCACAGGCGCCTGCCACAACGCCCGGCTATTTTTTGGTTGCAGCCGTCATTGTTGTTTGGCAGGCCCGGGCTGGATTCGAACCCGCCACCTTAGGTGTATGTGGCTGGCACCTTAGCCACTTGAGCCACAAGCGCTGAGCTAGAAGAGGTTATTTTTATATGAGAATGGTGGCTAGAGATGGAAATAATTTTCCCACAACTACAAAAGGGTTGCTGAGATGGCCACAGCTTAAACTGAAGGCTCAGATACGTACTACTATACCATACACTTGAACACAAACTTAGGTTCTTACTAAACTAATTTGAATTAACCTCTTTGGGAAAAGACAAAAAGCCTTTTTGAGGGCAAAAACCATTAGTTAAGAAAACAATTAAGTTGCATTTTCAGGTAGAAATGAAATTCCCTTGCTGTCCCCCCTCCCTCTTAATTCATATGTCAAAGCCCTAACTCCTGATGTGACTATATGTAAGGATTCAGTGTGAAGGTGGCCATTTGCAAGTCAGGAAGAGAGGCCTCACTAGGATCTAACCTTGCTGGTACCTTGATCTTGGACTTCTAGCCTCCAGACTGTGAGAAAATAAAAGATCTGTTGTTTAAGTCAAAAATAAAAGAGAAATAGCAATTAGTTCATGGTCAGTTTAGTAGAAGGATGCACACTCAGTCATCCCTTGGTATTGGTTCCAGGACCCCTTTGGACACTAGAACCTGAAGATACTCAAGTCCCTATATGTAGTGTTTGAATGTAATCTATGGACAGATTCCTCTATACAGCATTTCAATCATCTCTAGATTACTTATAATACTTAATACAATGTAAATGCTATGTAATAGTTGTTATGCCATCAATTAAAAATTTGTATTATATTTCATGGTTATTTCTTCTTTTTTTCTCCCCTGAATATTTCCAGTCCATGGTAGATTGAATCCACCGATGCAGAACCTACAGATATGGAGGACCACCTGTTTATAGACCTTGGCCTTTTCAGATACTATGCCTGGAAACCTTCCTATACTTATGCCAGGACTTCAGTCTTGGCACTATTAAGACTTTGAGAGGGATCACTCTTTGTTGTACTTAGCAGCATCCTGGTCCCCTAGCCCCTGGGAACAGTTGTGACAATTCAAATTATCTTCTGACATTTCCTTCTGGGGGCAAAACTGTCCCTGGTTGATAACTACTGACCTCTGCCATAGCTTGCTGGATCTTACCAGAACAGTTGAGAAGAGGTGAAAACATATCATCAGCTGAGATAGTTTCAATTAAAGGCAAATTTGACAAAATCTGGGATGGATGGGTTCATTTTTTTTTAATTGAATTTTGCATGCTGCACCACATACCGTATTTTACTCTTGTTTTAGAGTAAACTCAGTAAATGTCACAATCCTTAAGTTCTACACAACAAAGAAGTCCAGCCCATCTGTACCTGGGTCTTGTCTTATCTAGACTCTGCCCGTATTTTCTCTGGCTCTAGCAGAATTACAGCTTCTTAACCTTGTGTGATGGCTTCTTTATCAGTCTGGATGTGTTTAAGGATCCATGGAAGCAGTTTACTAACATCTGTGAAGATCCCGGGGGATCCTTGGTCACTTTGATAACTTTGCTCCATATTGTTTCTCCAGCCTCGACCACAGCCCAAGCCCCAGGAAGTCACACCAGCCAGAGTCCAGGCCCCTTTCTCATTCCGGCACATGAGTGACCCTCCTGAATCTCCCTGCAAGGGGAAAAGGCCTTTGTTACCATCATTGTCAATGCTATACACAAAAGTGCTCACTTTCCAATCACAAGTATGCTGGATAAGGAGTAATAATATTTCTTCATTTCTTAGACTCAGGGGGTTGTTAGAACAGCCAAGCAAAATTCCCATATGATCCCCAAATATCACTGGAACCCATTAAATCTACCTTCTTTCCCATCCTAGGCTTTCGACAAAGCTGTAGGCGTTCTTCTTTCTCCTATTTCATGCTACAGACTCAGGGAAGTCTTGCTCAGCAATAAAATTGACCTAGTTCCTTGGTTAGCAGGAAGAATGGGGGAAAGCAAAGTTCCCAACATCCATAAAATGGAAATTTCTAAACAGGAAAAGCCAGCCATCTTTCAAGGATGAGAGATCCCTGAATTCATTTCTGGTGTTATCTCTTTATTTGATCTTTTGGAATAAGCAAATGACCTCTAAATTAATACTCCTTGCTAAAATTCTTTAAATTGTCCCTTTCTTTTGATTTAACCCCCGTGGCTCCTTCTAATCCTTTCTAGATTCCAGTCTTGGTGCCTGGACTCAGCCTTCTTTCAGCCTCTTGCCTGCTAACAAAGCTGAGGGAAGCCTTGCCCAGACCCTGTCAGCCTAGCAGCTGGCACCCACCTGACATGCGTCTTTCCCTCCTTCAGGGAAGCCTGTGCAGAGAAAGGTATTTCCACTAATGAACTGCTTCAGGGATGATAGAGCTTCCATGCACTCATTCTGGGTCAAAATTGGCAGGTTCACTTCCTGTAAAACTTGCGGGAGGATACCATCTGGAAAACATAGGGAAGGACGTCTGGCAAGGCTGGCTGACTCACAGATGTTTGTGAAATTGGAAAGCTTTAAAAGAGCAATATCATAGTCCATTGATTTCTGAGCTGCAGGTGTCTCATTCAGGTTTGACTCCTTTGGAAAGACCTGAATTTCTAAGTACAATATGACATCCTCTGTCTTTAAAAATGTTTGCACAATTGCTATTAAAAAGTAGATTAAGAATTCTATTTCTGATTACCCACCAGAAAGTTCTGGCCTCTGATTAAGAAGCGTGGCATAGAAGTTCTTACCTTCACCCAAGCGGCCCCATCCTGCTGTTGTACAAGTAAGTCCAGCCTCAAATCGTTCCCCTGGCTCTGGAAGACATATGGGCCCCACAAATCGGCCTGAAGGAAAGGTCAAGACAGGGCTTGTCTTACTCATGGAGGAGAGGATACCATAAGTCACTTGCCAATTGGCATCCAGGTAGTCCCCTGATGACCTGGGTAAGAGTTGCAATATCTCTGATAACTCCAGGAGTCACTTGTCAATGACCCTCGCCTGCCTGCACATAATCCTAAATCCAGAACCATAAGCAAAAAGAGTTTCAGCTAGGGGAATTTCTATCCCAAATTCTTGTCTCAAAGTGCTTGAGCCAGAACAGTTGGGCATATGCACATAATATATACTTCAAGGAATGTGCCATGGGAAGAGGTTATGGAGAAAAGGGGGTGGATAATTCAGAGTGAGCCTCAAATGTTTACCAAATTGGAAGGCTCCAGCCATCTTCAACAGGGCAATATCATAGTCCATTGGTTTCTTGGTGGAGAAATGTGGGTGTTTGATGACAGATTCAATGGGGAGGGTTTGTTCTTCTGGCTCTTCCTGGCTCAAGTCATGTTCTCCAGCTGTGATATTCAAAGTTGACATGTTGCTTCTAAGAAAAGGAAGCAGCAATATGAATGAATTGTGCAGTGCCTCTGAGTACAGTTGCAATGGTTGACAAACTGGCCTCTTCAAAATGAATATGGATGGATAATGTGGGATGTGAGTACATTGAGCAGAAAACATGAGAATGATTCCAAAACTATTAGAAAAAAAAATACACATTCCCAGTTTCAGTGGATGGCTAGTAAAGAGAGGCCTCATCTGGAGCCAATGATGAGATAAATTTCATAATTTGTGATGTTGTTTATAAACATCTAGAGATGGAGATATACATTCATTTATAAATATCTAGAGATGGAGACATACATTCAGGGTTCTAAAGCTATAGAGGACTTTATTCAGTTACCCTAAGAGGCTGATCAGGCCTCAATACCAGTGAGATCCTTTGGGAATGATTTGTGATTCCTAGTACATATGCTGCTTTGGTGTCAGTGTTCTTATCCTTAGAAAGTCAGACAGCAGCATAACTCTGATGTCCCATAGAGCATGCATATTCAGGCTTTAGGATTGATTACAGTGGAAAGTTGGGATCTTCTTTTCTTCTTTATGTTTGTAATTTAGAGACCTGGCCTGACTTTGGAAAGTCTCCATCTTCCTGGGTCAATGTTGTTTGAAAAGGAACTCAGCATAATTCATTAAGCTGGATTAAGACTTTTGAGCATACTATTCTTTGAGACCCTTCATTCTCAGAAGTGGTGCTTTTATACAAAATTGGAAAGGGCATGATTTTCTCTGGGTATATTTCCCTGACTCTTGGCTACATGGAGTACCTGACTTAAGGGATAGCATCTTTCCAGGCTACCATCTACCACATTGCAGTGAAATGATCAGTTGGTTCCTTTTTTAGACTCTCAACTCTTTGGGGGCAGGAATTGTGTTTTAGTCGTTTTGGTGTCTTTGGCATCCACTAGTGTCTGGTACCAAGTAAACATCCAAGGAATGTTGCAGACATGAAATTAAAGAGGGAAAATATGAGGGGAGCCTAGTGCATACCAAGAGCACTGACAATATTAGGACATTTGGATCATACCAGACGTGGATAAAGAATGGAAGCTACTGAACTGAGGCTTAGAGAGTCAGGATCAATAGAAAAGAAGGTGCAGAAGCCTACTTTGCATTTTACTGGCTTCCTTTTATTTTTCTCTTCTTTTATCCATTTCTTTCTTTTCTTTTTTGTTGAGACAGGGTCTCACTTTGTCACCCTTGGTAGAGTGCTGTGTCGTCACAGCTCACAGCAACCTCAAACTCCTAGGCTCAACCAATTCCCTTGGCTCAGGCTCCCAAGTATCTGGGACTATAGGCAACTTCCACAAGCCTGGCTATTTTTAGAGGCAGGGTCTTACTCGGGCTCAGGCTGGTTTTGAACCTGTGAGCTCAGGCAATCCACCCACCTCGTCCTCTGGGATTATAGGTATGAATTAACTTTTTTGCTGCAATTTAAGAAAACCAGGAGAAAAATTTCAAAAATCCTTCTTTGTAATGCTCTTTTTTCTCACTTGAATGTTATTTATTTTTAACTTTCTTAATTTTAAGTGAATGAAGTGTTTTTTTCCTGCAAAGAATAGGTGCTTTCTACCAACTTGAGTACTATCTGACAATGCCACCCAGCTCCATTTGTGCCATGAAATCAGAATAGTCCTCACTAAAGCAATATTCACTCATCACACAGATCCAGGTTTTAAAAGACTTACTGCTGCTAATTTTCCAAGGGAGAAGAAAGAGTGGACTCATCTTCATCCATGAGCTAGGCTTTTCCTACCTGTATGCAACGCAGTGAGCAGCTGTGATCACCCATTGTGGAGAGATGATGGTTCCTCCACAGACATGCTTCTGCTTTTTTTTCAGAGACACCTAAATTGCAAAGACCTAAATGGAGGTGAGTTAATATCCTGGATTCCCCCAAAACATGGTGAAGAAGCATATTCTGAAATCAGACTCAGATATTTTACTCATAAATATTAGTAATCATGCACTGTGAAGGGTGCAACTCTTCACAGCAACACTGTAGCTCAGAAGAAGAGTAGTGCTGGAATTATTATAACAGAACATGCACAGCCCCCATCTATGCAAGAGGTTGTTAATTTGAAATGATCACGTATAAAGGTTATGATGAGTTGGCAATTAGGAATGTTAGTACATATTAATTTTTATAACACTGTTGATGCAGATCTATTATTCTAACAGTATGAACAGTATCTATGGATGAAGACAAAGAGTGTACGGTACAGTAGAGTTCAGCTGAAGATATCTGGAAGGAAAGCAAAGTAAGGACCAGGAATCTTTTCAACATATTCTTCAATTCCTCTAAGTCTCTTAGAGAAATAGTTTGGACCTACCATTTTCTCATGCTTTTAAGTATTTGACCTCTATACCTTTTTCATGCCTCTTGTTTGTCTCTTTAACATACTTTCTATTTTTGGTTTATCCTACCATTTTTTTCTTTTTGAGACAGAGTCTCACTTTGTCACCCTCAGTACAGTGCTGTGGTGTCACAGCTCACAGCAACATCCTGCTCTTGGGCTTAGGCAATTCTGTTGCCTCAGCCCCCGGAGTAGCTAGGACTATAGGTGCCTGCCATAATGCCTGGCTATTTTTCTTTGTTGTTGCAGTTTGGTCAGGGCTGGGTTCAAACCTGGCACCCTTGGTATATGGGGCTGGTGCCTTACTTACTGAGCCACAGGTGCTGCCTGGTTTATCCTACTTTTATTTGATTCTAAAATGACTTTCTGTGTACAAGTAAATACTTTAGCAAGCATACGCCCATTTTTGGAAGTAGTAAAAAGGTAATCTGTTAGAATTAGCCCCCTTTTAACCAAAAAGCCCATAAGAGAAAGTAACAGAGAAGAGGCTAGAATAGACCAAAGAGCAAATAAGTAAACGTCAATGAATCACTCTTACTATGATTTGCATATGAACTTCTGACTTGATCAACCAATTGATTAAGCAACTGATCAATCAATTATTCAACTAAGTAATCAGTTAATCAAATGGCAATGACTCAGATACTCAGTCAACCCACTAAACATAAACTCAATCAATCAGGAATTACTAAATAGCCATTGACCTAATATGCCTGACTCAAGAGAAGTAAAAATAAAATGGATTGTTCTCCTTGAAAAAGTTAAGAGGAAAGAATATAGCATGAATCCTGGGTTAAGAAAATTGGGAGACTGTAAAAGATAATAAATGTAAATGCCATGGGTTAGAGATAGAGGTGCAAAGGCATTTCTATGGCATAGGAGGTTGAAGAGATTAAATTTGGACAGAATTCTTAGGACATTAATTAATAAGGAGGTAGTATTCTTGATTATTCCTTGAGGGGTTCTATGGCTTGGTTGCAAACTTTATACCTAAATACAAAGTAGATATTAACTCTCTGGTTTTCTTTAAGTATAATAAAATATTTTAAAATATATACTTATTGAAATAAATTCTTAAAAATATACTTATAGAATGAAAAATATGTTTTATCAATTGTAAATTCAAAAGATTTTTAGGGTCTAGAAGTAGGATTTTGGTCTTAGAGGCTGAAAGATTGGGACAGAATTCTTAATATGTGGTTTCAAATACATAAAACAAATCAATAGCACATGTATCTATTCTAAACAGACCTCCTTCTGGAACTCAACTGATGTATATCTTGAGGGACTTGGGTCTTTGTGCACATGCATGAGATCTTTTGTGAGCAGATAAGCAGAATGGAGCACCGAGACTACCATGTGACTCTGGGAGATCCAATCCTGACAAATCTCACAGCCCACTCATGAAAGCTTGTTCCCTGAGACTCACCTGCCAGGGATAGGAACCCTTTTCCACTTGGTTTCCTCCAAGAATGCGACTGAAAATTTTAAAATAACTCCAAGGATGTGCCTTAGTCAGAATTTGCCCACAATTGGGAGCTGAGAAAAAGATAAACATTGAGTAATTAGATAGTTTCTAGAACTGAGGGATACAGTAAATTCTGAGCCAGAAAAAAATGGTAAGACATGGAATATGTAGAAAGATGATAAAATGGCTTTGTTGAGATTTGCTGTGATTTGTGGCACAAGGGATTGTTTGAATTTTGTTACACAGAACATGTGTATCATAAAGAGATGTAATTTTCTGTCATGAAGATGAAGGTCCTCATGGGTAGATCTCCATGAGTTATCAGTAATGAAACCAGTTTTTGATTCTGAGCTCTCTGGCCCCTAAGAGGCTCCTCACAACACTCTGGATCCTCCTGTGATATTTATCACATGCCATCATGGCTACTCCTATCTATTTGAACCCAACTAGACTGTGGGCTCCTCAAAGATAAGAACCTAACCTTAGAAGTATCTATATCTATAGTATCTAGCACAGCTCCTGATACATAGAAGTTATTCAATTAATTTGCTGATGTCATAGTCTTCCTTAGATTGCAATTGTGTATATATCATCTCTGATTCATCCCTGAGAATGAGTCTGAGACCATGGCCTTTAGTGTCTGGAACACAGTTGGATATCAATAAATCTTTATAGATTTAATTCTCTATGGGGATGGAAAGTGACAGTTTGATTGTTCAAGAGAGTAGAGTAGAAAGAAGACAGTATCCTGATTCACATCCCATTGTTAGGATAGAGGGCTTCTAGGTAATGAAAGAACTCCTTACTCTTTGTGTAAAAGATATCACCCCTAAACATATTGCATTTACTTATTTTTCCTCAATGGAATTTTTGACTCCCTGGCTGAGAGACAGGTTAGATTAAAGATGTTTACCACCCCTTGGTTCATTTTCTGTTCTCCTGAAGGTCCTTCTTTTCCCCATTTTTAAGGAGAGTATACAAAGCCTTGTCTCATAACCACCACACTTCATTGACTACTTAAATCCGTCAGTCCTTATTCTTCAGCCTGGTAGTCTTCCTAGATTTCCTCAAATGGGGTTGGGTATCTCTCCCTTGTGTTTTATATCAATCACTCTTTCTTCATCCCTTCAATAGTTCCTGTCTTGTAGCATTGTAATAATGAATTATTTACCTCTATTACTGGACTACAAACTACTTGAGGAAAAAAATACATCTATTCATCTCTGTATTTCTAAGATTTTAGCACCATTCTTGACATAAGTAAGCACTTAGAAAAGCTTCATGGATGAACAAATGATTTTTCCTAAGAATGCACCCTTAAGATAGCTCTTAGATCAATATGTTAAAATATACGTCTTTCTCACAACTTCTTGTTTAATCTTTGCTTTACATTTGTAAATCAAGCACTGTTATCCCCAAATTACATATAAAAAAATTATGAATCAAAATGATGTGCAACTAAACAATGGCAGAACACAGATGTAATACTAATTTTTTGATTCTGAATTCAGTACAAGGATAACATTGATCAAAACTGTATTTTCTATCTGTTTCAGTCACAAAAATTTAGACACAAAATTTACCATTTCCTGAACCCATTGAAACAAAGGCGGAAAATATGTTGATTCTCAGGGTTGGCACAAATATGACCATGAAGAAATCTTCCAAGACCTGTTCTTAGTTTGTTAATTGAGGACAAAGAAAAGGCCATTTACAAAATACTACAGTGACTATGCTTCATATTTCATGGAAAGATCATTTTCCAAAGGATTACAAATGCTGATAAATCCATGTTGGTTGCCAGAATTTGCTCTGTGAAAGAAGATGAGATTGATAATTTGTTCAAATAAGAGAACAATCCCAGCTTTTTTTTTTTTTTCTTAGCTTCACTAACTGAATTGGGATTATTCATATATTTGGATACATTTGTTGTATTCTATAAATGTTTCTAATCATAGTATTCCTATGTCATATGCTTATTACAGGTGAGAAAGTCAAAATAATTACTTGAAAAGTGATTAGATCTCCAAAATATATTTTCTTTTCCTATTTTCCCAAAGGAATATAGACTGGAGTTGTGATATTTTTTTCCAATGAAAAAGCAAAAGTTATTCCTTCATAAAAGGTAGTTATAGATTTCATTTGGAACTTACCTTTGGGAAGAGAAAGAGTTGCTGATTTACCTTGTTCGAAGCAGAACATTCCTAGTAGTAAAATCAGCTTGTTTCTGCTTATAGACATTTTGAGACTCAGAGTTTTTCCCTGAAATTTTAGAGAGACTAAAGAGAACAAAAACAGGAAGCCTTGGGAGATTAGAAGTAAGCCAATTCTAAAAACGTTTATTCATTAACCCAGACTTGAAGCATTCAACCATGTCTATATGATGTCTCTGAATGTGGTTTCTTGCAAGAATCAACCCCAGAGGCGGTCTCAGTTGAGTGATATTTCCATATCCCATTACACCTACATCAATTACTTGCTTCCACCAAGTGTATCTGGCTAACAAAGTGGTCGCTATGTAAGGATTTAACTTGAAAATATTACCTGCTTCTTTGTGTAGGGTACCACTTTCTATAAGAGGATTGACTGGCTATTGAATTTGTCCCTGTTTGCAATGCTCGACTTCCATACATGTTTGCTAACAACCCTTCTGGCCATTCTAAAATATTTTTCTTTTTTGTTCCAAATGTAACTACATGTTATTAAATCCATGTGTTAGAGAAAGAGAGGAAAGGACGCTCAGGTCATACTACTAGATAGTCATCTAGGATATTGTTCAATAGGACATTTGTGAATCTTCATTTTCCCATCATTTTCTTTTGTATTTATAGAAGGAAACACTAAATCTCCTTTACTTCTATACCTGGTAGATGTTTAGGCCCAGAAAAGTGACTATATTGCCTGCAAATCTTCCTTTCTCCTTGCTGAGTTTTTGACACACAGTGTATGAGAAACATTTACAGATTGATCAAAGCCATCTAGGACAACATAGGAATATGAAATTTTTTGGTCAATTTTTATAAGTTACCTGCCCAAACCAGCAAATGTCAAACCAAAAGCCACTAACTTCTTTTTGGTAACTTTTGCCCTTGTACAAAATATGTCTATAAAAATGTAACACCTACAGAGAATATAAATGCAAACCAAAAACTTTTTAAAACCTAAATTTTCTGAGTACCACATATTTAGAAAACATTAGTCAAGATCAAAGTTTTATAGCAGGAAGGTGAGTGATACCTGTTGCTCAGAAGGGTAGGGCGCCGGCCCCATATGCCAGAGGTGGTGGGTTCAAACCCAGCCCTGGCCAGAAATTGCAAAAAAAAAAAAAAAAAAAAGAAGGAAGCCCAAATCCCTAGTTGAAGCTTTATCCACAAATACCTTAATCCTGAAGCCAAAAATTTCTTTCTGGATTTTGGTGTGAGAATAATATCAGCCCCAAGAGGTAATCAATCAATGTCTATGCTATAATCAAAATCTTAATCTTCCTTTGACAACAAGTGCTCTTGAAGATTCTATTGCATTTTGTGTCACTTTTGAGAGCAACTTGACCCATAATATAGCCCTTCTGACACCAAATTAGCCTCAAGATTTATCCTGAGTCAGTGATTCAGAAGGCAGCTGGAAGAAATAAAGAACAAAACCAATTTGGAAGGACATGTTCTCCTCAAGAGTCAGTAGATATTCTATTACATTGGAGAGAAGACTTAGATGATCAAGAACTTCAGACAGTAGAATGATCTAATGAAGGAGTTTAGACACGAGGATTGAAGTGACTTGACACAGAATCTGTGTGATGGGTCTGAGGAGCTCTCAGGAAGACAAGCTGAGCAAATCTTGGGTCTGTATTTATTATCATAAAGCAGGAAGATGTAGTTAAAAATTACTTATCAAATGTCAGCACTAAAACAGGGAAATATGGAACATGTCAGACAGAATGTGTCCACTTGTTTTTATAAAACTGCAGACCTGAAGCAAGACTCCTGTTTTCTAGACTCCTGTTAAAGACAGATTAAAATCTGGAGAGTTTTTACCATAACTTTTGGTCTGGCTTAACAACACATTCTCATTTTCACATATACATTCTCAGAGGCTAGTTTTCCAACTCTCTGCATATTCACAGCTCACATACCTTCCTCATGATTCTTTAGGTCTCCTGAGCAGAATGAAGGCTCCTGCCAAAGGTCAGAGTAAGCAAAACAAGCTTCTGCTAGAAGCCCTGGTAAATCTAATCTAATCTAATAAATGTTACAAAATATTTGTTAATATTTTTGAAGAAATAAAAGAATAAATAAGAAAAGAAACTTTTTAAAAATAGGCTACACAGACTTGAAGAAAAGAGACACTCTAGAATAAATAATACACTCTTTAAAAAATAGGTTAAACAGTAGAGTACATGTAGCTGAAGAGAGAATTAATGCGTTAGAAGACAGATTTTAGAAATTACCCAGAATGTTGAGTGGGCATGAGGAGAGAGAAACATGTACAAAATAAAAAAGAAGTTATATGATGTCCAAAAAAGAATGAGAAAGTGAACTTATGTCTAATAGGAATGGCAGAGGAGATCGCAGTAGAAAGAAAAGAAGACAGGCAATATTACAAAACATAGTGGCCAAATCAAAACCCATGTAAGAGTTGAGAGAATAGTACAATGGGATATTCATGGACTCATCACTCTGATTCAACAATTACTCACACTTGGCCTATTTTGTCTTTTTACAGCATTGCAAGCCTTCCACATTCTTATTGTGAAACGAATCTTGGGTATTATATTATTTCATCTATAAATAATTTAATGAATATCTCTTAAAATAAGGATTCATTACAACATAGCCACAATACCATTATTAAATTAAAAAATGGATACTTTAAAAATACTTGATATTCAATGTTTGAATTCTTCAGTTGTCTCACATTTTTTTTTTACACTTGGCTTGAATTAAAAATTTGAACAACTTCTACCTTTTTCATTTAGTTGCTATATCTTATATCTTTTTAAAAGCCATAGCTTCCTTCCCTCTTTTTAGTTTGTGCAATTATTTTTGTTGAAAGAATTGGTTTTTAGTCCTTGGAATTTTCTACTGTCTATGTTTTGCTGATTGTAAAGCTGTGGTTTTAATGAACTCCTGTAATCCCCCGTTTGACCTGTAAACTGAGAGGCAGACCTAAATAGAATCTTGATCAGAGTCAAGTTAAATTTTTGGCAAAGAATTTTATAGTAGGGTTATGTACTTCCTGTTGCATCTCAGCATGAGGCCCTTAATGCCTGGGTGTCCTTTCTATGATTTTAAAATTAGTCAGTAGGTTCAGATGTCATTAGCTTGCCTCATCCGGTATAAAGTCCCTCAAATTTTTTTCACTTAGTTTTAAACAGTCCTTGATCATCATTGTCTAGTTCCATTATTTCATTAGGATTTACAAAATGATATTCTAATTTGTTTTGTATTTCAATGTGTTTATTATTTGTGTTTGTTATTTTTATTTTTTCTTAACTTTTTAAATTAAATCATACTGCATATATTAATGCATTTATGGGGTACAATGTCATAATTTTATATACGATTTGGAATGCTTACACCAAACTGATTAACATAGCCTTCACTTCACTTAATTTTTTTTATTATTTTTTATTAAATCATAACTTTGTACAATGATGCATTTATGGGGTTCAGGGTACTGCTTTCGATATACAATGTGAAATGTTTACATTGAACCAAGTAACACATCCATCAAAATTATACTCATTTCTTAATAGTTTTGAAATGTACCATTGCATCATGCACATTAGGAGAGGTTCCCCCAAATACCCTCCCTCCTCCCATGTCCCCCCTCCCC